TTTGAATTTATCATTTATCTGCTTTCCCGATGTCTTTAGTTTTCAGTATTTCGGTTTTACAATATTTAGTTTTTTCGAGTTTGGATTTTTTCAATTTTTAAATTTCTCAATTTTTAATCTTTCGATTTTTCAATTGTTAGATTTTTGAAGGTTTCTATTATCCTTTTTCTATTTTTCCTTTTTGATTTTTCAGTTTCATAGTTTTGCATTTCTTCTAATTTTATGATTCGAAAAGTTGAAAAATCAAAAAATTGAAAATTCGTAAAAATTAACAATGGAAAAACCAAAAGATCGGAAAAATTTAAAAACTGAAAAAAAATCGAGGACCTGAATAAACGAAAAATTGGAACAATGAAAAACTAAAAATGTAGAAGCTTAAAATTCGAAAATAAATAATGAGCAGAAAAATTGGAAAAAAGAAATAACGAATCGAATCGAAAAACTGGAAAATCCAAAAAATTTAAAATCGAAAAATTGAAAAATCGAATAAATAAAAATGTTTTAAAGTCGGGTAATTGAAAAATGGAAAATTCTAAAATCGTAAAATTGAAAAAGTGATTTTTTTTAAATAATAATTATTATTAGATACATATTTCAATTGAAAACCAGAAACATTGGAGATCAAAAATTGAAGAAACGAAAAATTAAAAAATCCAAACAATAAAAAATTTCACATTGAAAAAAGAAAAATTATAAAATTAATAAAAACTGAAAATCGCGATATTACAATTCGAAACATTACGAGATCTAAAAACTGAACCAAGTTGGAAAACCAAAAATTGAAAATGCAAAAATGAAAACTCATACAGTTAAACTGAAAACAGAGAAACAAAAATATAAAATCGGAACAATGAGAAATCGAAAAATTGTAAAATTAAAGAAAAAAAAACGAAATATCCAAAGAATAAAAATCCTGAAATATCCCAAAAATTGAAAAATAGAAGAAAAATTTACGATTCCAAAATTGAAAATCGAAAAGTCAAAAATTTTAAAAATCTAAAAACTAAAACATTGAAGTATTGAAAAACTGATAAATCGAAATATTGAAATATGAAAATCAAAAAAACATTTAATCGAGAATTTGAAAAATCGAAAAGCTGAAAATTTAGAAACGTCAAAAATTGAAAAATTGAAATTTTGAAAATCAAAAAATTAAAAACTCGGAAAATTGAAAGATCGCAAAACTAAAACATCGGAAAATTGAAAAATCGAAACAATGAAGAACAAGAAAACTGCAACATCCCAAAAAAATATCGAAAAATTGAAAAATGGTAGAAAAATTTAAGAACTGAAAAATTGAAAATTCGAAAAATTGAAAATTCCAAAAACTGAAGAATTGAAAAACTGAAAATTCGAAAAATGGAAAAATCAAAAAATCAATTTAACGAGATATTGAGAAAACGAAAAATAAAAACTTTAGAAACGTCAAATAGAGAAAAATTAAAAATTTTGAAAATCAAATAATTGAAAAGTCGAAAAATCAAAAAAGCGCAAAACTGAAACATCGGAAAATGGAGAAATCGCGAAATGAATAATTCCAGAAATCGAAAATATGAAAAACCGAGAAACTGAAGAATCGAAAAATCGAAAATCCCAACAGTGAATATCGCAAAATCGAAAACACAGAAATTGAAAAATGGAAAAATCGAGAAATTGAAAAATCGAAAAATTGATGAATTGAAAAACTGATAAATCTAACCATTGAAAAGGACAGAAATCGAGAAGTATGAAAAAAAAACTATAAATTTAGAATTTCAGAACCGAAAAACTGGAAATTTAGAAACAACAAAAACTGAAAACTTGAAAATTTTAAAAATCAAATAATTGAAAAGCCGAAAAATTTAAAAATCGTAAAAAACACCGAAAAATTGAGAAATCGCAAAATGAAGAAATTGAGAAATCGAAAATTTTAGAATCCACAAACTAAAGAATCAAAAAATCGAGAAACTCCAACACTAAAATATCGAAAAATTAGAAAATCTAAAAACTGAAATATTGTTAAATTGAGAAATGAAAACTAAAACATCCCAAAATAGAAAGAAATATCGGAAAATTGAAAATTGGAAGAAAAATTTAAGAGTCGAAAATTAAAAATCGAAAACTCAAAAATTTTAGAAATCCAAGAATTGGTTAAATCGAAAAATTGAGGAATTGAGAAACTGATAAATGGAAACATTGGAAACTTGGAAAACCGAGAAATAGGAAAATCGCAAAAACAATTAATCGAGAACTTAAGAAATCAAAATACTGAAAATTTAAAAATGTCAAAAATTGAAAAATTAACAATTTTAAAAATAAAAAAAATTCAAGTGTCTGAAAATTGAGAAATCGCAAAATGAAGAAATCGAGAAATGGAAATTTTGAAGAATCGATGAACATTAAAAAGTTGGGAAATCGAAAAATGGGAAAACCAAAAATACAATTAATCAAGCATTTGAGAAATCAAAAAACCTAAAATTGAGAAACGTCAAAAATTGTAAAATTAAAAATTTTTAAAATCGCAAAAAGGAAAAACCAAAAAGTCGAAATATCAAAGATCGAGAACTCGAAACATCAGAAAACTGAAATGTCTAAAACATAAAAATTTGAAAACCGGGAAAACAAAAAGTCAAAAATTTTTAAAATTAGAAAATTAAAATATCAAATAATTGAAAAAATCCAAAATTTAAAAATCGAAATATTGAAAAATCGTAAGTGTAAAAAATTAGTAATTCGAAAAATCGAAAAATTGAAGAATCCCAATATTGCCAGATCTCAAAACTGAAATACTGACTAATTAAACAATAAAAGAAAAATCGAAACATAGAAAAGTTGAGAAATCGAAAAATGGAAAACTCAAAAAATTAATTAATCGGGAAAAAATTGACATATTGAAAAATCTAAAAATAAAAAATTGGAAAATCGAAAAAAGGAAAAATTGAAAAATCTTAAAATTGTAAAATTCAAAAACTGAAAAATTGAAAAATGGATAGGAACAATTTAAAAATCGAAAAACTAAAAAATCTAGAATTCGAAAAGTCCAAAAATCCAAGTCAAAAAATCAAAAAATCAATCAAGCGAGATGTTAAATATTTAGAAACGTCAAAAATTGAAAATTAAAAATTTTAAAAGTCAAAAAATTGAAACGCCAAAAAATCGAAAAATCATAAAACTGAAACCTCAGAAAATTGATAAATCCATAATTTAAATAATCGAGAAACTGAACAATCAAAAAATCGAAAACTCCAAATACTGAAATATCGATTGAAAAATTGAAAAATCCAAAAATTGAAGAATAATAAAACTAAAATATCCCAGAACACAAATATCGAAAACCTGAAAAATGGAACAAAAATTTAAGAATCAAACAAATCAAAATTTTTAAAAATCGAAAATTTGCAAAACCGAGGAATTGAAGAATTGGAAAACTGATAAAGTAAAACATTGATTAGTCGAGAAATCAGGACATGGAAAAATAAAAAAAAAAACAATTAATCTTGAAATTGACAAATCGAAAAGTTGTAAAATTTAAAAATCAAAAAATTGAAAAATCGTAAATATGAAACATCGGAAAAATGAGAAATCGAAAAACGAATTGGCAGAGAAGTCGAAAATTTGGAGAATCGAGCAACTGAAGAATCTAAAATTTGAAAATGGAGAAATTCAAAAGCCAAAAAATTGAAAATTCGAAAATTTGAGAAATCGAAATCATCGATGTTTAGGATAAAAAATTCATAACGAATTCGTAAACCACAACTTCAGGTCTTTTACTTTTTACTATTTAAATAATATTTACTCGGCTAAACTGTAAAGTGACGTCACGAATTCCTGAAGGGCATGAACGGATAAATTTTGATTAATGATTTACCATCCTATTTTATCGTACGCTAGGGGTCAAGAAAGAGTGTCTATGTCTATGAATAGTTGACCTACAGTAGAATCGTATGACCTGACTTGGCTTGACTTGAAATGATCTGAGCTAATTTAAACAACAACAAAATTTAAGAATAAACCGAATCGGCGATTTTAAGAAGTTCGAAATTATCTTGATACAAATATACCACACGATGAGCCCTCAACTAGATACCTACTATCAAAACTTTGTAATCATATGTACATAATTTTTTATTCTCCCATGGGAATTCCCTGTTCTGAACAGACTTAATTTAAGCATTCTTTTCAAACCCACTTATTACGCTAAGAGAACCTGTGGTAATTATTTACTACATAGGAAGAATATAAGTATCATTTTTAGACACTGTTGTACGATGCATTTTTAAAGCCGTCCAATTTCTCTACTGAAGCCATTAGACCGAAAAACCCGTCCGACTGCACTCAGAATTTTCCATATCATCCAGCAGCTCCAGCAATTGCTTGTTTGACACGTTCCATTCGCCTCTGCATTCGATTTAGTCCTCGTCCGGAGCGACTTTTACTTCGATTTTTCTCCGCTTTTAATGACAATGTAAATGACTCCTGCCGCGAATAATTTTACACGTTCGTGTAAAAACTAATTAAATCCCGCCGTAATTTCGGAAGCGCGTTTCTTCGAGTTTTAATTTGAGCAATTACGAAATAAATCCCTCCTCGCGAATGTAATTTAGTCATGTTTTTGTTCGTTCGTTTTATGACAGTTAAAACGAAAGTCGGACATATTCGCGCACTAGCCCCGTCTCGGCCGAGATAATGGAAATTCCGGCAAAAAAGAAAGAAACTGTCATTGGAGGCATCCATTAACGGACATTACGTTTCGTATAGAACTTCATTAAACGGAACATCAGCCGAATGTTTATTATTCCTTCCCGATGGTTTAATATCCGAGGTCCGTGTTGACAAGATGTAAGAAATTATTTAGACAAGTTCGGGGCGGAAATTTCGCGTGTTGAGTAAATATGGGGCCGGAAGATTGTTACGGTTGCAAGTTAAACACGTCTGGGAAACGGCACCGAAAATGGCCTCTCCTTTAGTTAAGACGGCGAGACAAAATTACTCCCATAAAAGTATGATGGATTATTTATTACCTTTTCTCCACTGTCTGATGGAAGGTAGAATGTGAGCACAGTGAGGAACGAGATGCCCATGCAGGGAATGATGATGTTCACTGTATAAAACAAAGTCTTTCTTCGCATCGTTATATTGAAAGTTATATCGAGATATGGCTCATCACAGCACGTGTAGAATTTTTCATTTCTGCAAAAGAAAAAACACATTACACCACGAACAACTTTTCTTCGGTTTGGATTTGGCACCGGGGAGATTTGTGGTCATAATAGACACTCTCTTATCGATATCTGCCGGATTAATATTCAAATGATCGAGTCCGGTACGCTAAAGCGCAATTATTATTCTGATGTGGCTTTAATCACATTTGGAGCCTTTTGTGAATACTTCGAAAGTGGGTTAAAGTTGAAAGGGAGTTATGGTAATGACTACGAACTAATGGTTGTCATTAGCGAAGCAGGTCGCAACTTGTTTGTGCGTCACTGCTATTTATTTTAATGGTTGCTAAGTTCTTATTTTAAATTAATTAAATTTATTCGCGACCAAAAACAAAAAATCGGTTGATGGTTATTGCTACAGAACTTCCCGAGCCCCTGAGCACTAAATCCCGCTTCTTTGAAAAATTACAATTTTTGGCAATTTTTGTTTTCTGATAACCTCTAAATAACAGCTTTTTCGACTAAATTTTCCAATTCCTCAATTTTTTTTTGTTTCTTCAGTTTTTAGATTTGCAATTTTTTTGGTTTTTCTTGTTTTTTTTGCTATTTTCCAATTTTCCAAATTTTGGAATTTTCAGTTTTTAATTTTTCAATTTGCAATTTTTGGTTTCGGTTTTTTATTTTCTTTATTTTTGCAATTTTTTGATTTTTCAATGTTCCGATTTTATAATTTTTTGTTTTTCAAATTTTTCGTTTCGACAATTTTTCGATTTGCAATTTTTTAATTTTTTGTTTTTTTTTGTTTCTTCAATTTTATGCATTTCGAATTTTCGTTTTGAGATTTTTTAGTTTTGCGCTTTTCAAACTTTTGATCATTTCAATTTTTAAACCTTGCGACTTTTGTATTTTTCAATTTCTCGAGTTTTCAATTTGCAATTTTTCGTTTAGGGTTTTTATTTTGTTTATTCTTACAATTTTGAGATTTTTCAATGTTCTGATTTTATAATTCTTTGTTTTTCTTTAGGTTTTTAACTTTTTTTGTTTCTCCAATTTTAGGACATGCATGTTTCCGAGTTTTCATTTTAAAATTTTTCAGTTTTCCGATCTTCCAACTTTTGTATATATATTTAAATTTTTAGGTTTTGGGATTTTTCAATTTGTACCTTTGCGATTTTCCAGTTTTTAATTTTTCAATTTTTCATTTCCTCAGTCTTTCAATTTTTGCTTTTTCAATTTTTCATGTATTTTTGTTTTTCAATTCTTCAATTTTTAGGTAAATCATTTTTTCATTTTTTTCTTTCTTCAGTTTTTCGATTTGCAATTTTTCGAATTTTCAGATTTGCAGTTTTCAATTTTTGGATTTTGCAAATTATCGATTAGATTTTCTCGAGTATTCAATTTTTAATTTTCAATTTACTGATTTTTCAATTCTTCATTTCCTCAATTTTTCGTGTGCAAATTTTCAATTCTTCAATTTTTCAGTAAATCAACTTTTCATTTTTTTGTTTCTTCAGTTTTTCAATTTGCAATTTTTCGAGTTTTCAGATTTTCAGTTTTCAGTTTTTGGATTTTGCAAATTATCGGTTAGATTTTCTCGAGTTTTCGATTAATTTTCAATTTACTGATTTTTCAATTCTTCATTTCCTCAATTTTTCGTATGCAATATTTCAATTCTTAATTTTTTTTGTTTCTTCCGTTTTTCAATTTGAATTTTTTCGAGCTTTCAGGTTTTCAGATTTTCAATTTCTAGATATCGCAAATTTTGGACATAAGTTTCTCGAGTTTTCAATTTTTAATTTTTCAATAGATTTCCTCAGTCTTTCAGTTTTTTCGTATGCAATAATTTTTCATTTGTTTCTTCAGTTTCGTAATTTGCAATTTTTCGAGCTTGCAGGTTTTCAGTTGACAATTTTTAGATTTTGCAAATTTTCAATTTGAGTTTCTCGAGTTTTCAATTTTTAATTTTCAATTAGCTGATTTTTCAATTCTTCCATTTCCTCAATTTTTCGTGTGCAAATTTTCAATTTTTCAGTAAATCAACTTTTAAATTTTTTTTTCTTTAGTTTTTCAATTTGCAATTTTTCGAGTTTTCAGGTTTTGAGTTTTCAGTTTTTGATTTTGCAAATTTTCAATTTGAGTTTCCCGAATTTCCAATTTTTACTTTTTCAATTTACAGATTTTTCGATTCTTCATTTCCTCAATTCTTCGTATTCAATTTTTCAATTATTCATTTTTTTTGTTTATTCAGTTTTTCAGTTTGCAATTTTTCGAGCTTTCAGGTTTTCAGATTTTCTATTTTGAGATTTTGCAAATTTTCGACTTAAGTTTCTCGAGTTTTCAATTTTTAATTTTTCAATAGATTTTCTCAGCGTTTCAGTTTTTCATTTCCTCAAATTTTGATCTGAAATTTTTCAATTTTTCAATTTGTCAGTAAATCAATTATTCATTTTTTTGTTTCTTCAGTTTTTCAATTTGCAATGTTTCGAATTTTCAGATTTTCACTTTTCAATTTTTCGATTTTGAAAATTTTCGATTTGAGTTTCTCGAGTTTTCAAGTTTCAACTTTTCAATAGATTTTTCAATTTTTCACTTCCTCAGTCTTCCAATTTTTCATTTCCTCAATTTTTCATGTTTAATTTTTCAATTCTTCATTTTTTTCTTCACTTTTTCAATTTGCAATTTTTCGAGTTTTCAGGTTTTCAGTTTTCAGTTTTTGGACTCCGCAAATTTTCAATTTGACTTTTTCGAATTTTCAATTTTTAATTTTTCAATTTACTGATTTTTCAATTCTTCATTTCCTCAGATTTTCGTATGCAATTTTTCAATTCTTCGTTTTTTTTGTTTCTTCAGTTTTCCAATTTTCCAAATTTTGAAATTTTCAGTTTTTAATTTTTCAATTTGCAGTTTTTGATTTCGGTTTTTTCCAGTTTCAGGTTTCTTCAATTTTTCGGTTTCCGAGTTTTCAATTTTTCACATTTTATGGTTTCTTCAACTCTTATATTTTTCAATTTTTCGATTCTTTAATTTGCCATTTCTGCAAATTTTCGATTTGCAATTTTTCGTTTCGGTTTTTTATTTTCTTTATTTTTGCAATTTTTCGATTTTTCAATGTTCCAATTTTATAATTTTTTGTTTTATCAATTTTTCGATTTGCAATTTTTTAATTTTTCGTTTTTTTTTGTTTCTTCAATTATAGAATACGCTTTTCGAGTCTTCCTTTTGACATTTTTCAATTTTCCATTTTTCCAACTTTTGATCATTTCAATTTTTAAACCTTGCAATTTTTCTACTTTTCAATTTCTTAAGTTTTTTTCCTTCTTCAGTTTTTCGATTTGCAATTTTTCGAATTTTCAGGTTTTCAGTTCCCAATTTTTGGAATTTGCAAATTTTCGTCTTGAGTTTCTCGAGTTTTCAATTTTTAATTTTTCAATAGATTTCCTCAGTCTTCCAGTTTTTCATTTCCTCAAATATTCATCTGAAATTTTTCAATTTTTCAATTTATCGGTTAATCAATTTTTCATTTTTTTGTTTCTTCAGTTTTTCAATTTGCAATTTTTCGAGTTTTCAGGTTTTCAGTTTTCAGTTTTCAGTTTTTGATTTTTGCAAATTTTCAATTCAAGTTTCTCGAATTTCACAGATTTTTCAATTCTTAAATTCCTCAATTTTTTGTATGCAATGTTTCAGTTTGTGGGTATCGTTGGTGATTTAAAAGCGACGGTACGGTTTTTAGATTTTATTTCGTTGTTTACTGTTCGAGGGTGCCAGGGAGAAGAAGGAAGGGTGTTTAAAATGGTACACAGGTAAGCTCGGTTTCGAAGAGGTGGAAGTAGGTAAAAACGGAGTTTAGAAAATTCTAGAAGGGAAAAGAGAAAGTATGTAGGATCTTAGGGCAGGTAGACGAAAGATAGGAAGTATTTACATTTATACAATTACTATGACTGCCCTCAGGTAGAACACCTGATTTTGTGGGAACGGTTGTTCCTACAAGTTCTTCATTTTTTTTTGTTTCTTCAGTTTTTCAGTTTGGAATTTTTCGAGTTTTCAGGTTTTCAGATTTTCAATTTTTAGATTTTGCAAATGTTCGATTTGAGTCTCACGAGTCTTCAATTTTTAATTTTTCAATTTACAGATTTTTCGATTTTTCAATTCCTCAATTTTTCATGTGTAATTTTTCAATTCTTTAATTTTTTAGTAAATCAATTTTTCATTTTTTTTCTTCAGTTTTTTAATTCGCAATTTTCGAGTTTTCAGATTTTCAGTTGTCAATTTTTAGATTTTGCAAATTTTCAAATTGAGTTCCTTCAGTTTTCTATTTTTATTTTTCAATTTACAGATTTTCCAGTTTTTCATTTCCTCAATTTTTCATGTGCACTTCGTCAATTCTTCAATTTTTCTTGTTTTTCCAGTTTTTCAATTTGCAATTTTTCGAGTTTTCGAGTTTTCAGGTTATTAGTGTTTCAATTTTTAAATTTTGCAAACTTTCGATTTAAGTTTATCAACTTTTCAACTTTTAATTTTAGATTTTTTCTATTTGAAATTTTTCTTATTTTCTCAATTATTCGACTTTTCAATCTTTCGATTTTATAACTAGTTTTTTCAAATTTTCGTTTATTGATTTATTCGATTCGAGATTTTTCAATTTTTCAATTTCTTTGTTTCTCCAATTTTTAGATATTGCGATTTTTCGATTCTTTAATTATTCATTTTTTGAAATTTTAGATTTGCAATTTTTGGTTTCGGTTTTTCATTTTTTTATTTTTACAATACTTCGAATTTCAATGTTCCGATTTTTAAATTTTATGATTTTTTATTTTTTTATTTCTGAGGATATGCATCAAGTTTTCATTGTTAATTTTTAAGTTTTCCAACTTTTGTAGGTTTCAGTTTTTTGATTTTGAAAAATTTGAAATTTCACGAGTTTCGTTTAGGTTTATTATTTTCTTTATGTTTACAATTTTTGGATTTTTCAATGTTCCAATTCCACAGTTTTTTATTTTTTTAATTACAATTTTTAAAATTTTTCGATTTTCC